GGCGATATCGACTCCGCCGAGAAAGCCCGGCGCGTACTCCACGCGACCGGTGCCGATGGCCTGTTGATTGGCCGTGCTGCCCAGGGGCGGCCGTGGATTTTTCGTGAGATCGAGCACTTCCTGCGCACCGGCGAAACCTTGCCGGCGCCGGAGCTGGTCGAGGTGGAACGTATTCTGCTAGAGCATCTGGCCGCCCTGCACGCCTTCTATGGAGACGTCATGGGAGTACGCATTGCTCGTAAGCATGTGGGCTGGTATCTCGCAACCTTGCCGGGCGCCAAGGAGTTTCGCGCCCACTTCAATCGTTTGGATGATACGGAAGCACAGTGCGCCAACGTTCGTGAGTTCTTCGCCGGACGTTACAAGAGCCTGGTGACAGGGGACGGAGAGGGGGTGGCCGCATGACGATGATGACCGAGACTTTAGTGAGTGGAACAGCACCCGTGAGCGACAACGTCAATTTGAAACAGCACCTCAACACACCGAGCGAAGAAGGTCAGACCCTTCGCGGGAGTGTCGAGAAGGCGCTGCACAATTATTTCGCCCATCTTGAGGGCGCTTCCGTCACTGACGTGTACAACCTGGTGCTCTCCGAAGTCGAGGCGCCCTTGCTCGAAAGCGTGATGAACTACGTCAAGGGCAACCAGACCAAAGCCAGTGAGCTGCTGGGCCTCAACCGTGGGACCCTGCGCAAGAAGCTCAAGCAGTACGATTTGCTGTAAGCATTCAATCCAACCAGAAAGGCGCCCGCGTAAAACCGGTCGCCTTTTTTGCTGACTCCTTTGCTTTTGATGGAAATTGAAATGACCGACCAGACCACCCGCCTGCCGATCCGCCGCGCCTTGATCAGTGTCTCCGACAAGACCGGGATCCTCGAATTTGCCCGTGAGCTGGAAGCTCTGGGCGTGGAAATCCTCTCCACGGGCGGGACCTTCAAACTGCTGCAGGACAACGGCGTGGCCGCAGTAGAAGTCGCGGACTACACCGGTTTCGCAGAAATGATGGACGGTCGGGTCAAGACCCTGCACCCGAAAATCCACGGCGGCATCCTCGGCCGTCGCGGCACCGACGACGCGATCATGAACGAGCACGGCATCAAGCCGATCGACCTGGTGGCCGTCAACCTCTACCCATTCGAAGCCACCATCAACAAACCCGGCTGTGACCTGCCGACCGCCATCGAAAACATCGACATCGGCGGCCCGACCATGGTCCGCTCGGCGGCCAAGAACCACAAAGACGTGGCCATTGTGGTCAATGCCAGCGACTACGCCAGCGTGTTGGAAAACCTCAAGGCCGGTGGCCTGACCTACGCTCAGCGTTTCGACCTGATGCTCAAGGCGTTCGAACACACCGCCGCCTACGACGGCATGATCGCCAACTACATGGGCACCGTTAATCAAGCCGCCGAAACCCTCAGCACCGAAGGCCGCAGCCAGTTCCCGCGCACCTTCAACAGCCAGTTCATCAAGGCCCAGGAAATGCGCTACGGCGAGAACCCGCACCAGAGCGCGGCGTTCTACGTGGAAGCCAAGCCTGCCGAAGTGGGCATCGCCACCGCGACCCAGCTGCAAGGCAAAGAGCTGTCCTACAACAACGTGGCCGACACCGACGCTGCGCTGGAATGCGTCAAGAGCTTCGTCAAGCCGGCCTGCGTGATCGTCAAGCACGCCAACCCGTGCGGCGTGGCCGTCAGCCCGGACGCCGAAGGCGGCATTCGCCAGGCCTACGAACTGGCCTACGCCACCGACACCGAGTCGGCGTTCGGCGGCATCATCGCCTTCAACCGCGAACTGGACGCCGAGACCGCCAAGGCCATCGTCGATCGTCAATTCGTTGAAGTGATCATCGCCCCATCCGTGAGCGAAGAAGCCCGCGCCATCGTCGCAGCCAAGGCCAATGTGCGCCTGCTGGCCTGCGGCGAGTGGTCGGCCGACCGCGCCGCGGCCTGGGACTACAAGCGCGTCAACGGCGGCCTGCTGGTGCAGAGCCGCGATATCGGCATGATCAGCGCCGACGACCTGAAAGTGGTGACCCAGCGGGCGCCGACCGAACAGGAAATCCACGACCTGATCTTCGCCTGGAAAGTGGCCAAGTACGTTAAATCCAACGCCATCGTCTACGCCAAGAACCGCCAGACCATCGGCGTCGGCGCCGGCCAGATGAGCCGCGTGAACTCGGCGCGTATCGCCGCGATCAAGGCCGAGCACGCCGGGTTGCAGGTGGCCGGTTCGGTAATGGCGTCCGACGCGTTCTTCCCGTTCCGTGACGGCCTGGACAACGCCGCCAAGGCCGGTGTGACCGCCGTGATCCAGCCAGGCGGCTCGATGCGCGACGCCGAAGTGATTGCCGCGGCCGACGAAGCTGGCATTGCCATGGTCTTCACTGGCATGCGTCACTTCCGCCACTAAGCCGACTCGATCGGAATGTGGGAGGGGCTTGCCACCTTCCACATAAAGCGCTCCAGCGGCGCCTACAGAATTTGAGGTTTTGACATGAATGTTTTGATCATTGGCAGCGGCGGCCGTGAACACGCCCTGGCCTGGAAAGTTGCCCAGGACCCTCGCGTCCAGACAGTTTTCGTAGCACCCGGCAATGCCGGCACCGCCATTGAAGCCAAATGCCAGAACGTTGCCATCGACGTGCTGGCCCTTGAGCAACTGGCCGATTTCGCCGAGAAAAACGTTTCCCTGACCATCGTCGGCCCGGAAGTACCGCTGGTGGCCGGTGTGGTGGACCTGTTCCGCAGCCGTGGCCTGGATTGCTTCGGCCCCACCGCCGGTGCTGCGCAATTGGAAGGCTCGAAAGCCTTTACCAAGGATTTCCTCGCCCGCCACAAGATCCCGACCGCCGATTACCAGAACTTCACCGAGATCGAGCCGGCCCTGGCTTACCTGCGTGAAAAAGGCGCGCCAATCGTGATCAAGGCCGACGGCCTGGCCGCCGGTAAAGGCGTGATCGTAGCGATGACCCTGCCGGAAGCCGAAGACGCCGTACGCGACATGCTCGCCGGCAACGCCTTCGGCGATGCGGGCTCGCGTGTCGTCATCGAAGAATTCCTCGACGGCGAAGAAGCCAGCTTCATCGTGATGGTCGACGGCAAGAACGTGCTGCCAATGGCCACCAGCCAAGACCACAAGCGCGTCGGCGACGGCGACACTGGCCCGAACACTGGTGGCATGGGCGCCTACTCCCCGGCGCCTGTGGTGACCAGCGACGTGCACCAGCGTGTGATGGATCAGGTGATCTGGCCGACCGTGCGCGGCATGGCCGACGAAGGCAACGTGTACACCGGTTTCCTCTACGCCGGTCTGATGATCGACAAAGCCGGCAATCCGAAAGTCATCGAGTTCAACTGCCGCTTCGGCGATCCGGAAACCCAACCGGTGATGCTGCGCCTGCAATCGAGCCTGGTGCTGCTGGTGGAAGCCGCCCTGGCCCAGGCCTTGGACAAGGTTGAAGCACAGTGGGACCCACGTCCGAGCGTCGGCATTGTGCTGGCAGCCGGCGGCTACCCTGCCGACTACGCCAAGGGCGACGTGATTGAGGGCCTGGAAGCGGCGGCTAAGCTGGAAGGCAAGGTGTTCCATGCGGGCACTGCGCTCAAGGACGGCCAGGTCGTCACCGCCGGCGGCCGCGTGCTGTGCGCAACCGCCATGGGCGCCAGTGTCGACGCCGCGCAGCAGCAAGCGTACAAACTGGCCGCGGCAATCGACTGGAAGGGCTGTTTCTACCGTAAGGACATTGGCTATCGCGCCATTGCCCGCGAGCGTGGTGAGAGCCAGTAAATCTCGAACATCGCTAGCATTGTCAGTAGCTATCCGTTCGGTTAGGCAAGGGCTCAAGGCCCTTGCCGTATACCCGCCACCCCGCGCATAGTTAACCCGTGCATCAACCTACGAAGGGATTTCGCCGTGCGCTGGCTCAGGATCGCCATAGGTTTCACTGTCAGTCTGCTGACGCTGCTCTGCTTGCTCCCGGCCCAGGCCGCCGCGCAAGGCAGTGGCTGGGCAGTATTGCTTGATGAACAGGCTGACCTGCAACTGAGCGACATCCGCTCCTCGCGTTACACCAATCAATTCAGCCCCATCGAACTGGACCGTATTACCGCCGCGGAGCCGGACGGTGCGTTGTGGGTACGTTTCAAGTTGCAACCCGGCAAGCACGAGCAAGTGCTGCGCATCTTCGCCCCGGACCTGTCCCACCTGAACCTGTACGTGCTCGATGGTGACACCCTGGTAGAGCAACAAAGCACCGGCACCCGCCAGGCCCAGACGGAACGCCCGCTGCCCAGCAGCGACTTCATGCTACCGCTGCCGCAAAGTCAGAACGTCCTTGAGGTCTACGTGCGGCTGGTCTCGGAACACGAGCTGCGCCCCTATATCACTCTGGAACCGGCCGTACTTGCCGCCGCCAACCAGACGCAGACGCTGATCTACGGCCTGCTGTTCGGCTGCCTGCTGATGCTGATCCTGCATAACCTCACACGCTTCGCCTACCACCGCTCGCGCAGCAGCCTATGGCTGGCCGCCTGCGAGGCCCTGTTGATGCTCAGCCTGGCGCTGCTGCTTAACCTGGTCGGCCCGTGGCTGCCCAACTGGCACGCAGTGCAGACCCCCGGCGCGTACCTGGCCCTGCTGCTGACCGCACCGTGCGGGCTGATGTTTGCCTATCGCTTCTTTATGCCGCTCGGCCCCCATGTACTGAACAAGCTGCTGATGGCCGACATCCTGCTCATCGTGCTGTGCGGTCTGCTGTTGTTGTTCGTCAACACCCTGCCCCTGAACATCATCACCTACGCGCTGGTGGCGTTGGCAGGGCTGAGCATGTTGTTCGTTTCAGCGTATCACTGGCAGAAAGGCTACCGTCCAGCGCGACTGTTCGTGGCGGGGATGGTGGTCTTCAATATCGGCACTCTGATCATTCTGCCGGCGCTGCTGGGCCTGACGATGGTCTCGCCCCAGGGCCTGATCGTGACGCTGCTGGCATTCATTTGCCTGAGTGGCCTGTTGATGAGCCTGGCCCTGGGCGAGCGCCAGCGCGCGATTGTCGAGGCACGCTTCAGCCTCAGCCGCGACCTGGCCGCCAGCAATGCCGAGATCGCCGCCAAGGCCGAGTTCCTGGCAAAAATCAGCCACGAAATCCGCACCCCCATGAACGGCGTGCTGGGCATGACCGAACTGCTGCTGGGCACTCCGCTGTCGGTGAAGCAACGGGACTATGTGCAGACCATCCACAGCGCCGGTAACGAACTGCTCACGCTGATCAACGAGATTCTCGACATCTCCAAACTCGAATCCGGGCAGATCGAATTGGACGATGTGCAGTTCGACCTCAATGCGCTGATCGAGGACTGCCTGAGTATCTTCCGCGCCAAGGCCGAGCAGCAGAATGTCGAACTGATCAGCTTTATCCAGCCCCAGGTGCCGCGCGTTATCAGCGGCGACCCGACACGCCTGCGCCAGGCGCTGTTGAGCCTGTTGGAAAACGCCCTGCAGAAAACCGACGAAGGCGAAGTGCTGATCGTGGTGGCCTTGGACGATCGCAGCACCAAACCGCGCCTGCGCATCGCCGTGCAAGACAGCGGCATCCCGATGGAAGCCGCCGAGCGCGATGCCCTGCTGCATAGCGAACTGCACAGTAAGAATTTCCTGTCGGCCACCCGTTTGAGTGGCCACCTGGGGTTGGTAATCGCGCGCCAGCTGATCCTGTTGATGAACGGCGAATTCGGCATCAAGAGCGGCAGCCATCAGGGCAGCACCCTATGGCTGACCCTGCCGCTGGACCCGGAGCGCCTGGAACACCCGACGTCCGACCTCGACGGTCCGCTCAAAGGCGCCCGCGTGCTGGTGGTGGACGACAACGACACCTGCCGCAAAGTGCTGGTGCAGCAATGCTCGGCCTGGGGCCTGAACGTCAGTGCCGCGCCTTCTGGCAAGGAGGCCCTGGCACTGCTGCGTACCAAGGCGCACCTGCGCGACTACTTCGACGTGGTGCTGCTGGACCAGAACATGCCAGGCATGACGGGCATGCAGCTGGCGGCGAAGATCAAGGAAGACCCCAGCCTGAACCACGATATTCTGTTGATCATGCTCACCGGTATCAGCAACGCGCCGAGCAAGATCATCGCGCGTAACTGCGGGATCAAGCGCATCCTGGCCAAGCCGGTGGCCGGCTACACCCTCAAGACCACCCTGGCCGACGAACTGACCCAACGCAGCAAAGGCAGCGCCACGCCGCGCCCGGTCCTGACGACGCCGGAAGCTGTCACCGTGCCCAGCGATTTCCGCATTCTGGTGGCCGAAGACAACAGCATTTCCACCAAAGTCATCCGCGGCATGCTCGGAAAACTCAATCTCGATCCGGACACCGCCAGCAACGGCGAAGAAGCGCTGGAGGCCATGAAAGCCCAGCGTTATGACCTGGTGTTGATGGACTGCGAGATGCCAATCCTCGACGGTTTTTCGGCCACCCAACAACTGCGCGCCTGGGAAGTCAGCCACCAACGTATCCGCACGCCGGTGGTCGCGCTCACCGCGCACATTCTCTCGGAACATAAAGAACGCGCACGCCAAGCCGGCATGGACGGGCATATGGCCAAGCCGGTGGAATTGTCGCAGTTGCGCGAATTGGTTGAATTTTGGGTAGCACAGCGTCAGCAACGACCCGAACACGCCCCCTCTTGAGCTGTAATGCCCCTCCCACATTTGATCCCTGGCGCCTGATAGACTCTCCCCACTTCTCCTGCCGCGAGCCTCCTCCATGCTCCATGTGTTATTCAGCGTTTACCTGAAGATGCTGGTGCTCTACAGCCCGTTCTTCGTGCTGTCCTGCTTTATCAGCCTGACTCGCGGCTATTCCAGCAAAGAACGACGCCGCCTGGCCTGGAAAGTGGCCTTGGCAACGCTGGTTTCCAGTGTGTTGCTCTACCTGTTCGGCCGGTTGATTTTCAGTGTGTTCGGCATCACCGTGGACGCATTCCGCATCGGCGCCGGCAGTGTGCTGTTCATCTCTGCCCTGGGCATGGCTCAGGGTAAGTCGGCCGTGCAGACCGATAACGTGCAGCAGGACGTAACCATCGTGCCGCTGACCATCCCCCTCACCGTCGGCCCCGGCACCATCGGTGCGTTGCTGGTAATGGGGGTCAGCCAGCCGCACTGGGATGACAAAATCATGGCCATCCTCAGCATCGCCCTGGCCAGCTTCACGGTGGGTGTGGTGCTGTACTTGTCCAACCGCATCGAACGCATTTTGGGTGACCAGGGCTTGCAGATTGTCAGTCGGTTGATGGGCTTGTTTGTTTGCGCCCTTGCCGCGCAGATTATTTTTACGGGCGTGCGCGGCTATCTGGTGCCCTAAATCCGGTATTTCGCGATTGCCAGCTGTACTTTGTCTCCGGCGCTCTCGCGCATCAGCTGGATGGTTTTTTCGTTGACCACCGAGGTATTGAGCACCAGGCAGGTTTGCCCGCTGAAGGCCTCGAACGAGGAGCTATCCCACTCCAGGAATGGCAACCCCACCTGTTTACTCACGCCCTGGGTGCTGTAGGTCACCAGCACCATCGTCAATTCACCGTCGGATTCGGCGCAGGACGCCAGGCCGAAATCACCGCCCTGGTGCACGGCGCTGTTGCGTTTGAACAGTTCGAAAGACGTCGGCTGCTGCTTCAGCGCCTCCAGCGCATCCGCCGCCAGCTTGGGCAGCGTAGCCAGCAACGGCCCGCTCAATGACGTCGAGGCCAGCAACGTCGCAATCATATTCAACGCCGCCAGTTGCACCGTCAGGCCCTTGCCGACGCTGGAGACGCGCTCGAACCGACTGCGCACCGGTAGCCAGCCCAGACTGATCATTACCTTGATAAATTCGTCGTACCACGCCTCGCTGCCGCGTTGGACTTTCAACACATCGCTCACGTAACTGCTGGCCAGCAGATAGCTTTTACGGATGTATTCGCGGTTCAGCCCGGACAGGCCCTCGGCAAACGACATGACACTGTTGTTGACCACCGCGGCGTTGCTGTCTTCATCGGTGTCCAGCGGCAACGTGGCGTGCGCCCCGGGCGCTCCCGGCAGTTTGTAGGCGGCGATCAATTTGCGCCGTTTTACGTTGTTGATCCGTTTGTGATGTCGCTCCATTTTCCAGTTCTCCACAAGCACCCCAACATGGGGCTTGCCTTCACCCTAGTCCAGCGCCCAGCGGGGTTTCCACACGACAAACAACGCTCGCCGCCACGCCGTGCGAAACGCTGCCCAGCAATTGCGGGGCACATCGCCGGGCCTTCCAGTTTTCCTTGTGCAAAAAAGAAAAAAGCTCCGAAAACACCCGGTGATCGCCCAGGGTTTATCGGAGCTTTCGTGCAGCCTCAGGCGCCGGGTTTTTCGCCGTACCAACGCGGTGTATAGACCCATGTACCGCCATCGGCCCGCGGGAATGTGCAGGTGGTAGACGAGCCGATCAGCACCATGGTGCGCATGTCCACCTGGTCCGGGGTGAGTTGACCCAGGGTGGTTACGCGCAGCGTCTGGCCGGGGCGGCCAATGTCGCGGCCCAGCACCACCGGCGTTTGCGGCGTGCGATGCAGCGCGACGATTTCCAGGGCACGACCCAGTTGCCACGGGCGCGAACGCGAAATCGGGTTGTAGAACGCCAGGGCCAGGTCGGCCTGGGACGCGAGGTCCAGGCGTTTTTCGATGATCGACCAGGGCTTGAGGTTGTCCGACAGCGACATCACGCAGAAGTCATGCCCCAACGGCGCGCCGGCCTGAGCGGCAGTGGCCAGGGACGCCGAGACGCCTGGCAGGACTTCCAGCTCGACCTGATGCCACGCCGGGTCGTCGGACTCGTGCAACGCCTCGATCACCGCCGCCGCCATGGCGAACACACCCGGGTCGCCGGACGACACCACCACCACCGAACGACCCTGGGCGGCCAGTTCGAAAGCATGGCGCGCGCGCTGCATTTCTTCGCGGTTGTCGGTGCAATGCTGTACCTGATCGTCACGGAATGGGCCGGCCATGCGCACATAGGTTTCATAACCCAGTACATCGGTGCAGCGCGCCAGTTCGGCTTTCACCGCCGGCACCATCAACTCGGCGGCGCCGGGGCCCAGGCCAATCACAGCGAGGCGGCCACGGGCGCGGCCCAGCTGGGACACATCCAATGGTTGCTCGGCAACATCGATCAGCAACTGCGCGCCGGGCTGCACATCGGCAAACCGCAGCGGCACGCCCAGCGCCAGCGCGGCTTCGTGCAGCGAAGAGTCGGCCATCTGCGTGTGGCTGGCCAGCAGGCAGGCCAGGGATTGCACAGCAATACCGGCTTCTCCCAAAGCGCTGCGCACGCGTTCGGCCAAGTACGGGCCCGGAGCACAGGTCACACACACGGTTTTCGGATAGATCAGCAATTCATTGGCCGCAGGTTTGCGCTCGGCACTGCCCACATGAATCGCCAGGCGGGCCTGTTGATCCTGGGGCAGATTGGCCTGTTCCAGCCACGGCGCCGCGCCTTCGATGCGCACGCTTTCACCGGCCAGCAGGTCGGAGACAAAACGCTTGCCCAACTCCAGATCGGCCAACTCATAACCACTCGGAGGGTTGAGCAGGCAAGTGCCGAAACGCAGTTCACCACTGGTGGTGATTGCCGCCGCCACGTTCAACGCAGCCGCGATCTCGCGGGCCATGACGTTGACCCCACCCAGCCCCCCCAGCAACGGCACCACAGCGCTGCCGTCTTCGGCCACCGCGAGTACCGCAGGCTCTTCGCCTTTTTCCAGCAGCAACGGCGCCAGGGTGCGAATCACGATGCCGGCCGCGCACAACGCAATCAACGGCGTGCCCTGTTGATAGAGCTGGCGCAGGGTGGTGCCGAACTCGTTGTAGAGGGTGTCCGCACCCTCAATACGCCCCGCCAGGCCGTGGATCAGCGCGCCAGGGTAAACCTGCTGGATCTTGCGCGCCGTGGCCAAGCTGCCTTGGCCCAGGATGACAATCGCCGGGCGCATCATCCTTGCCACCGTTCACCGGGCACGATGATCAGTGAAAAATATGGCGACGACATCGGTTCCACTTGATCCAGCGGCACAATCTTCTGGTTGGCCATGGTCGCGCGTTCCACATACAGCGCGCGTTCGGCCAGGCCGAGTTCTTCGAGCACCTGGCGCACCTTGGGGAAATTGCGCCCCAGCTTCATGATCACCGCCGCGTCAGCGTCCGCCAGGCGGCGCTTGAGGTCGTCATGGGGCAATACACCCGAAAGCACCGACAGGCTCTGGTTGCGATACACCAGTGGCGCGCCGAGCACCGAGGCGCCGCCGAGCATTGAGCACACGCCAGGGATGACCTGCGCTTCGTAGCGCTCGGCCAGACGGTCGTGCAGGTACATATAGGAGCCGTAGAAGAACGGGTCGCCTTCGCAGATCACCGCCACGTCGCGGCCGGCATCCAGGTGCGCGGCCACATCGACGCTGGCGGTGTCGTAGAAATCGCTGATCACCTGCTCGTAGGACAGCGGTGCCGGCAGCGCTTCGGTGGTCACCGGGTACACCAGCGGCATCAGGGTCTGCTGTGGCACCAGATGGTCTTCGATGATGCCGAAGGCGTTACCCTTCTTGCCCTTGGCCACGAAGTACGCCACCACCGGCGACTCACGCAGCAGGCGCAGCGCCTTGACGGTAATCAGTTCAGGATCGCCGGGGCCCACGCCCAGGCCGATCAAGCGTCCGCGCGCCGACATTATTCAACCTCCGTGGCGAGCGCATTCACCGCTGCGGCGGCCATGGCGCTGCCGCCCAGGCGACCTTGCATGATAACGAATGGCACGCCACGGCTGTCGGCGGCCAGCATCGCCTTGGATTCGGCGGCACCGACAAACCCCACCGGAAAGCCCAGGATCAACGCCGGTTTCGGTGCGCCGGCATCGAGCATCTCCAGCAGATAGAACAGCGCCGTCGGCGCGTTGCCGATCACCACCACGCTGCCCTCCAAGTGTGGGCGCCACAGTTCCAGGGCGGCGGCGGAACGGGTGTTGCCCAACTCCCGCGCCAGTTCCGGCACGCTGTCGTCGCGCAGGGTGCAGATCACGGGGTTGTTGGCCGGCAGGCGCGCACGGGTCACGCCCTCGGAGACCATGCGCGCGTCGCACAGGATCGGCGCACCGGCGGCCAGTGCATCGCGCCCGGCCTTGCCTGCGCCGTCGGAAAACTGCAAGCCGTCGATGGCCTCGACCATGCCGCAGGCATGAATCACGCGCACCGCGAGTTTTTCCAAATCAGCCGGGATACGGGCCAAGTTGGCTTCCGCGCGAATAATGGCGAAGGAGTTGCGATAGATCTCCTGACCGTCGCGGATGTAATCAATCATCGGTGTTGCTCCGTGGGCGGGCACGCAGCAAGGTGCCCGTCGCTTCAATAGAAAGGATGCGCGCCTGCAGCCGGCCAAAACCGGGCTGGGCTGCATCGCGAAAATAGACGTCGTAGTGACCGGGGCTCACCGCCAGCAAGGTAACCGGCGCGGTGTGCGCCGCAGCGCAGGAGCGCGGGCAGCCGGACAGATGCACCTCTATGCCGGGTTGCAGCGCGGCCAGTTGCACAGCGTCAGCTTTGGTATCGGCCAGGGCTTTGCCGCAGCCGCTGGAACCGGTGCAGGCGATCATGCGCGCGAGGGGATCGTCGATTGCACACAGGAAGCCCAACTGCGCCAAGCGCTGGGTCACCGCGACCGGACGCTCGATATTGGGCAGCAACACGCCCTGCCAAGGGGTCAGGCGCAACGTCCCATCGCCGTACTCGCAGGCCAGTTGCGCGGCGCCCTTGAGCATCATCGAGTCCAGGCGGCCCAGCGGCGCACCTGCCGCGACATAGAACTGATTCTTTTGCTCTTGTGGATAACTTCCGATGTGCAGCAACGCGCCAGTGGCCGGGCGTTTGAAGCCCTCCACCGACAGCAGCGGCAGACTCAGGCGGCGCATGAGGTTATCCACATCCAGATGGCGCATGCGGGTTTGCTCGGGGGTCGCCAGGTCGAGAAAAGCTTCCAGCACTGCCACCACCAGCGTATGGCCCT